CCTGCAGTGTTCTCCAGAAGTTGAGTTCCAGATCTAACAAAAACTGCAATAACAAAAAATAAAAAACCAACCTCTGGCTTAAAAGAGTAATAAAAATGAAACATCCCTGTTGTTCTGTGTTAAAATCTCTTTATTGTCTTTGTAGGAATTAACTTTAACAGACCATAGCTGCCAGAACCTATTGCCTCTGAAATTTTATGTTCAGCGCCTTGGGGGAAAAAAACCTGATATTTAGCTTGTGCAAAGCAGAACCCACAAACTCCAAACAAAATTAAAATTATACTATGCTAGGAGTTAGGATAGTAAAAGGAAAGATCATCACTCATTTACAGGATAGACTAAGGCACACAGTGATTTGCTTAGAGACATAAAGGAAATGAGAGGCTGCACCAAGAGTTCGTTTCAGACCTCTGAGTTGCAGCCCAGAGCCTAACTTCAGATAATGATTCATCGGCTGTTACTTGTTTTAAAGTAACTTGCTCTTTTTATTCTATCTAAGGATAAAAGAGACACTTTTCTTAGCAATGTTTATTTTTGAAAAGTCTGTAATATTTTGTCACTGAAAAACCTGTAACAGAACTGCATTTTTAATTTTAAAACTTTAAAAGTTATAGTAAAGAACATGAGGTATCATTCAAGGCATCATCTGGATTTGAACACATTAATTTCAAGGCAGGAACAGCTTACATTCATGCAGTGGAGGCCAATACATTTTCTTCATAAGCATACAGTGCTAGCAGTAGTACTTTTTCTACAAAGCAAGCAATTAATTTGTAAGATCAGGTCCAGTGTTTTCAAATGGCCCCAAAAATACAAAATCTGCATCACTGTGAAACTGTTCTTCATAAAGTTCTACCTACAAAGCAGCTTCTTACAAACCAAATAAAAATAAGCTGTTGGTAATCAAAAGTAGATGGAAAATAGCTCCTCAAAAGACAGAACAGTAGAAGAGCAAAGCTGAAACAAAGACAACTTTCCACACCTGTTACAGCTCCAAAGCTTAGGTTCAGCCGAGGCTGAATCTCAAAAATGGATATTTATTCTTTGAAGGACAAGGCTATTTATTTTGAAAAACACAGCTATACCGAGACAAGGGTCATGAAGTTAAAATAGACAGCTTTGGTAATATCTGTGCTTCCCCACTTTGATGTCTTGTAACCCAAATAAACACCATACAAATGAAAAGAAAACCTATATATCTGTGAATCTTTTTGATCTAAACACTAGTTTACAAACCTGGTAGATATTGTAACTATATAACTATCGTAACTATTGAACTACAGAAGGCAAGATACACATTGATGTTTCCAGCAAACTTTCAAATTAATTAAAATGAAAAGTCTCAAACTTTATAGTAGCCTGACTTGGCAGAAATAAATACCTTACAGATATTTTGGGTTTGCAGTGTTAAAGAGCTTAAGTACTCTTGGTGACTGTATGGCAGTGTACCCTACAAGCCTCTCAAATTCCTCAGTGGGATTTTCTTACAATATATTTCATGTTTCGGCATTAAGGGCACTACAGAATCACAGTTTCAATTGTAACTAGGTATTTGTAAGAATTCTTAAATATATATTTAAATTATGTTTTCTGTTTCCAGATGAGAAGGGGAATACTGACTGTAAAACAAGACAGTAGGGCTGGTGTAGATAAAAGTAACCAGAGGACAATTGTATAAATTTGATTTATACAATTAAATTTGAATAAAACTGGTACCTAGAAACTACTAACAACCACTCTTTTCTGCATTATGCTTCTTCACTGAAGCCCACAGTCATGATTATTGACAGCGCAAGTGTGAGTCTACCAAGCCTTGGGAATTTTCAGATGCAGCTTTTTAAGAAAAAACAACTTTCATTAGGAGTAAGAGAAATCTTATCTCTACTTAATACAATGGAACCACAATTTTATTCCGATTCATGTTACATTATGTTTCCAGGATGCTAAAATGGATTTGCTGCTGTCAATCTCCCTAGCAGAGTTCCCCAATAAAAGACAAAAGATACCAAATGAAGATATTAAATCATCCTGTGGAGAAGTGAGACTATTTTTAAAGCCTCGAAAGTGTAACAGGAGCACATACAACATAGAAAAGAAAAATTTCTGTGGGAAAAATTCTATTAGTTTCTAACTATCACATAAAGATTTAAAATACATGTTTGAAATCCTCAGCTCAATCTTTGTTTAACCATGTTTTAAAATTTTGTTGCGTGCAGGCTTGCCAGAGTGTATCCTAGTATTTCTGCTTTCTGAAATGTAAGTTTTTGCTCAACTGCAACTCTCCCTAATTTTTGTCCACATTTTTGCAGTAAACAAAATTGATGCCCTCCTGCCATCTAGTGGCTAAAAAAACCCCTAAACCAAACGCCACCAGCAGATGTTAATTCAAAACTAACTTACTTTCAAATCTTTTCCCCTCCAAACAGTTTTTCCCCACCAACATTAACTAAGTACTAGCACTTTTTCAAAGAAAAGGAAATACGTAGAAGATAATTCCCCTACACTGTGGTGCAGCCAGAAGAACCTGCCCACAGGCTTGTTCTGAGCCTTGTGGCCTCCATGGTAAAGCAGGCTCACAGACTTCTCAGCGAGAAATATGCCGTAGCAAAGAAGATTTTCACTTATTTCTACTTACTGCTCTTGCTAGATAAATCTCCAGTCACAGCCAGAGAATGGTGAGTTGGAGCTGTGAAGCTACTGGAAACAGCTGGTCTTTCTGCACGGCTTTGAATTCAGTTTCTCACTGCTCTGTTCTCTTAAATTAAAATTAATGTGCTTATTTAACAGTACAAGTTACTTGTTTTCCTATTGAGCTTATATATTTTAAGCAATAATAAATGAAATATAATGTAGAATTTCATTGAAAGTACTGCACAGCTGGTAAAAACTGGGTTACTAAAATGAAACAAGGGACCATAAAATTGTAGTCTAAATCTAAAGCTTTCTAGACATCTTATCTTACAAGTACTAATTTCATGTTGCCAAAATGAAGCCTTGGCAATCAAGACACAGAGCCATGCTGGTTCCAACTAAAAGTACATCTAGCCTATATCGGGTACTGACTAGTAATGATTTTTAAGAAAACAAGCAAAAGAAATTGGATACAGAATATATTCTCACAGAAACCTGATTTAGGAACATCTTGCACCAAAGATTTTAACATCAATATTCCCATTGGACTCTTCTTCCACAAATACATCTGATCTTTTCTGAACTCATCTAACATCTTGACATCTGCATATATTGTGACTTTAACTTCTACAATTGCATTGTGCACTATGTGAAAAGTACATCTTACCAGGTGTTTTAAACCTTCTGCAAGAACTTTTCATTGGATGTCCCCTAGATTTCCTGTGAGGCACAAGGAACGATCATTCTCTATTCACTTTCTCCTCCATTACAGTCACGATTTTAGATCATATCCCTTCTTCCTTTATCCTCTCATATTCCCCTCCTATCTTCCTTCAGGCCAAAGAGTTTTAGTTTCTATAAGACAAAGACCTCGTCACTGTGCTTGGATTTTTAAGACCTTTGTTGTCAACCAGCTCATTCCTCTTTAGGCAATCATCACCTTCTTCAGGAAACTCTGATAGATTTCTCAGACTTATTTTTTTTCTACAAAATCTAAGTCAAATCTTCTCAATTACCTCATATTTAATATGAGCAATTTTTTACTTCCAAAGAAAAATGTTTCAAATTTTATCTTCAAGGAGTTCCCAAAAGATGAATGCCTCAAACTGAGGCACAGCCAAATTATTTGAAAAATTTCATATAGAAAAAAGTGATAGAAATACTGATTATTGCTTTTCCTTCAGGAATGATTAACTTTGAGTTGCATAATTTAATAATAGTATTAGCATATCACCTCTTATAAAGAAGACCAATTCAGATATTAAAACACACATTTTATAAAGTTTAAAAGAGACCTTTGAAAAATGTTTGGCAAGATTTAGGAACAAACGTTACGTTGTCTATTTTGCATGACATGATTCTATTAAAATTAATAATACACATACACATCATAAAACATATTTGAGGAATGATAAAATGAGACAGAGAAAGTAAAGTGATTTGCTTAACAGCACATCAAAAGTCTTCTAAGACTAAAGCATCTTCACTTCTCTCACAGATTTTTACCCCCATTAGACTCATATACTAAGCAGCAAAAATAAAATTATATTCTCCATGTACTTTCTCTGAATTATACTGTTCACTTGAATGTGAATGTCCAATAGCAAAAAAAAATCAAAACTTCTCTGTAAATACAATTGTCGTTGTAATAAACACCTCTAATAAAATCTCTCTAAATCCATGAAGTTCACAATGTGAAGTAGCCATTTGCTGACATTCAGTAGTATTTGTAAATTTTGCATGTTCATTTTTCATCTTTTGCATTTTCAATCACATTTATCTAGTGTTTTCAGGAGTACAGACAAGCAGTACATAGTTCTTGCTTCCTATACATTTAATGAAAGTAAGCTTATGCTTCAATGAGACTACTATGTTTTAAAATGAAAGGTTTTTAATTTATTCTGTAATGGGTTACATCTCTAGACTCAGTGAGGCTTCTTTGTGCTACAACATAGATGGCACATCCAGGCTTTAAACTAACTTAAATAGTCAGCAGGGGATTCCAATGATGCAGGAGATTAGCTGAGCTGAATGCAGTAAAATAGATAATTAATGGCATATTTAATTCCCAGCTCCACCAAAGGGTAATGTTTAAGATGAGGGACTATAATTGATGCTAAATGAACTTAGTGGTCTCTTGACTACCAAATAAAGCTTATGGGAGATACTGCAGGTCTCCCTATAGGGAGATACTATAGAGAGATGCTTTAAAGTACAGACCAGATACATTAAACCTATACAACATAAGCCATCTCCCTATCTAGACCATCTATGACATTGTGGACATAGCAAACTGAACACCAAAATCCCATTAGAAGGGTAGTATGACAGCTGATACAACAGTAACAGAAATAAAAGTAGTAACTTACTTTCCAAAAAGTGAGAATCTGCTACTTCTGTCTGGCTTTGCATCAACTACATCATCGTGATCTTCATCATCTCTCTCTTGAGTAGAGCAATCAACATGCTGATCTCCCGACATCTACAAATAAAAGTACAAGAATGTAAGTGTCCCTCAATGAACGCTATCATTTTAGAAATACTTCTATAAACCAAACCGTTAAACCAGATACGCGTGAGGTTGTTAGTCAGTTGTATTGTATAATACTTCATCAAGTAAGAGTGGCTATAGATTTCTGGCCCTGAATTAACGTGACATTGCACATGCTCAGCCATCTGTATTACCTTGTGGCAGTTACCAAAACTGACTTGTCTAACACTACTCTCAAAAATGCAGATAAGAACAAAAGTAAAAATCACTTTATGGTGAAAGATCTTACGACTAATTCCCAGAAAATTTTTCATGGTCTGGAAAGAAGTTATGTTGGGAAGAAAGCAAGGACAACTAAGATCAAAATATTTGTAACTGCAATCCTATCCAGTACTAAGACACCCAGAGAGCTCTTGTGTTTTTATTTGCATATACAGAGTCAAATGTGCGTAAGAGAAAAAACCCTGTATTATCTTCCGTGGATGGGATCTTAGGTTTTAATTTCTCTCTTTTGTCTATATCAACACTTAATATGAATTTTATATCCTTCTCATGATTAATTAATACATGTGTACAGTTGTTAGGGAAAAAAACACTTGTGAAGTATTTCTTGGAAATTAGAAGGTATTTTCATTACATAAAGCAGCCTCTTGCACAAATTGCTGTATTTCAGCTAATTTTTCTTTTTGTTACTCCAGTGTAAGCTTGGAACATCTTCACTCATCTCAAAAGCGACACAGGGCACCGCTAGACAACAAGGCTGAGCTGATCTAATGACTTTTTCCTGATGGTCTGTCTCCCCTCTTCTTCCATGTACTGAGTTGCCCACTCAGGAAGTTTATTTAGATCATTAAGCCAGCAGAAAAATACAAGAAGAAAGGAGTCATTTTTGTGATAGCACAACGATCTGCACCAGCTCAGCGCGGGGCAAGAGCAGCGGAGAAGGCAGCGCGGGACCCCCACCTTCACTCGCGGTGGGATGCGCTGGGCCACCTTGTCCAACTCCGGCTCCAGGTTTTCATGAGGAAAAGCAGCAGCGATTCCTGCCCCATCCCCATATTTAGGTAGATTAAACTTGCTTTTATAATACATTCACTCAGAAGGGTACATCTAGCTTGAAAACCACCCTGGTGACCTTGCAGCAGCTCAGAGGCTGCCCATCAGCTAAGCCCTGCGGCTACCTGCCCGCCAGC